ATAATTTTATTATAAGTACTTAACTAATTATGATCATGGGCTATTATTTAATTTTATACAAAAGTCGGTATGTTATTTTGTATTCTTCAATTAATCATCATTTTTTTAGATATCCGTTTAGGCTTATTGCAGCCAAGATTCAACAGTTTGAAGCATACTGCCTTACTTGAAGACGTTTCACAAAGTAGGGAGAAATGGAAATGAATAGTCTGAGAAGTCTACAGAATGATAGTGAAGTAGGTAATGTATATATATTGTTCCTTTATATCAGTGTCACTTACAATGTATTGCAGTTTTATTATGGTAGTCAAATGTAGATTTTTGATTATAAAATTATTATTTTGAAGAATTTCTTAGCACACTTTCATTGAAAAATTCCATTGTTTTTCAGATTTATTCTTCTTTCTCTGAAAGAAAAAATAAATAACACTGTTATGACTCTATATTCTTATTTTTTTCAAAAATATTTCATAAAGAAGTAATAATAAACAGTTATACCTACCAAATTTTCTTCTTTTAGGTTGTGCAATTTTCTGGAGAATGTTGGGCTGGGTTAGCAATGTATGCGAGCGCATCATTGAAGTTAACTGAGCAAGTCGATCATGCTATCCTGCAACTGTTCTTTTTCGTTGATTAAAAGATGCATGTATGGACTCGCCACCTTGCTCACTGATTAGTCCTAGCCCAAATTTCCAAGCCTTAAGTTGTGGAATCACATGCTCTTCAAGCATATGAAGCTTTGGTGATATTGTCATTGAATTTCCTGAATTTCTATATTCATCAATAAAGTCTTGTATAGATTCACCTTAAAAAAGGGAAAAAATGTTATAAATGAGAATTCTTTTTTTATATTTTAATATAGACCGATAACCAAGCCTGCAAAAGCAACATGAAGACGGACAGCTTAGCAGCAGGTTTATATTCTTAGATGCCAGCAAAAACAAGCCAAAACAAATGGCCGCCTTGGAAACTATAGGATATTAGGTAACAATTTAAATACAGTACATACAATAACTTACCAATAACAGTTATTTCCTCATTTGACATTGGCTTTGAATGATTGATGTTATTGTGAACTATTGCAAATTTATTTAGTAGTCGTCCATATTTGCTGACAAGCGATTTTACTTTTTCTGAAAAAGCTTTTATTTGACCTAATGGTAGTTCAGTCTCCTGTAGCTTGAATTCTGCAACTGGGGCATTTA